ATTTTAAGGAAATAATAGAAGACATACATCTCGAACGAATTTAAACAATTTTCTAGATGTAAGTAGCTTCTAGAGACCGAGTCACTTAAGCCCTGAAAATACAGCCATAGTGTTAAAATATCTTGTTGTTGTGAAAACTCATACGCATATACCTTAGGAATTTTATTGAACCTTCTTTTGTAGGGTTATATTTCGTCATATTGTATTTATAGACCCACCCACTAATCTACACTAAATCATAGAAAAATTACCCACAGTTGCTTCTCAATCACTTAATTGTTGAATAGAGAATGGCGAATGGCGAATGGCAAATGGATTGGGTCTCTACTCAAACGGTGAGTTCAAGCGGAGCAATTTGACGTTTAGTTGACAAATTGTAGTGGAAAGACACTGATCTTAAATATATTTCCTGTCAAACATTTCAGTTTATAACGAATAGATATAATGCATTTACATTAAATAAACTAAAACTAATGGTTTATAGTATATGGACCTGTGTATTATTATAACAGATATGGAAATCTAGTAATAATAACATAATAAATAAATAATTATAAAAAAGAAGATATGATGTATAACATTTGTTTCTGTCTGTCCATTCTGATGTCCGTTATAAAAGTTTTTCTACAAAGATATACGCGATAATAGGATTACATGTAAAACATTCTGGAATTAGTTGTGATGGCTATAATAATGCAATGAACAACAATTCATTACCGGTAGAAATCAAATCGTTTAACATATATTACACTAAAAGAATATACAGATCCAATATGTGGACTCATGTTGAAAAGGTCTTTAATTTTTTTTTATCAAAATATGCTCGATATAGCTTCACGGAAGACAACCACTTTCAAGCGAATTACATTTAAGCTGTATTATGGTCTTTCCCAATGAGATTAATTCTATTTAAAGGATTGATCTTAAATTGTATTATTGGTATACATTGTGTAGGTAGCCATACAGAGAGATAATACCATATGTATTTTTCAAAATAATAATAATGTGTTTTGCTATTGCTGTTTACAAGTAAATCTTATTAACTTAAAATCTTATACGGGATCACACAATTTAATAATTTTTATTCAAAATTCCAAGGAGTACTATACTGCACTAACGATAAGACAGTGGACCAAATGATTATCTATATGAATATCACTTCCTGAAAAATATCTGTTAAAATTTTAGAAAAATTACGGCATAACCATAATAACAGCCTCAAGATATAATAAAATTGCATATTACTATAGCATTTAATAGTTGTACTAACTTAGATTCCTTACTCACTGAATCTTCAATTCTTTTGATGAAATTCAATATGAAG